CACGGTGAGCCAGTTAGTGTATATAAACAACCAGGTCCTAATTTCCAAGTTGGAGTATATTCTACAAATGGTGGTATTAACAGAAAGTGAATTGAATACAATCTACCAACCTTTTCTATAGTTAATAAAAAAAAAGTTAGGAATAGCACAAACGGTACCAAATAGTATTCTAGCACATAGGAGTATATTAGAAACCAAGCTACTTGCAAGTGCAGTATTAACAAAGCAGACGACAGCTCTTTTGAAAAAACTAAATAGTACCGGTATAATAGAAAACATCACTAAAATAAGAATTAGACAAGGAATTTTGGAAAAAGGTATAGTACATAATATCTGGAGAGACCCTTTGGTTAAGGCAAATTATAACTGCAAAGGTAATATCACACTCAACATAATAGAACAGTGCAAAAGAATAGATATATTTTTTAGCACAGAAAAAAAAAGTTGAAGCATTTGTAGTTCAGGAGCAACAATCACAAGTATATTGAGTTCTTTGCAGAGAAAAAAAAGTAAAAAACAGCAAGCAAGTTTGGGAATTTACTTCATTAATTAGATACTAGATATGAAGGGTGAAAACTTGCTGACATGGTAGCAAGTAAAGGCATTAAAGAATCATAGTTGTAGTGGCACAACCCACTTTGGTATAAGTTAGTCGAGATTTTGATACTCGAAAATAAAAATGAACGTAAAATAAAGGCCCAGTTTTGCTTGCAAGCAAGAAACAAAGAAGTGATTTTGTCTAGCCTACCAAAGATTAGTCAGAATAAGAGACAGAAAAATTGGATCCTATTCTACAAAAAAGAAACAGACTAGCTTGAAATCAGACATGTTTAAGAAAAGAGTTCAAGTGAGGTTCTAGCCGAACACTGGTTAGAGAGAGATCCAACTAAGAAAGTAGTTCTGTTAATACAATGTAGAGGTTGTAATTTTAACAGCGTAGAAATAGATGATAGTTGTAGATTTAGTATAAATTTAGATCAAATACTTGGTAAAATAGAGTATATATCAAAAGATAAGGAGGGTTTATACCTTAGAATTCCAACAGAGATATATAGATCCCTTATTATAGAAAGAAGTACACCTGAATAGACATTAAAAAGTATGAAAATAGTAAAAAATGAAAATCTAGAGTATATAAAGAATTTGGAGCTACTAGCCAATATTAAAGTATGGGCTAAGAGTTAATTTGGAGCATAAAAGAAAAGAAAACATTTTCTATACAGATGGTTTATAGATCTTAAATAAGTTTAACAAAATTGACAAAGATAGAATAGAAGTAGGCTAGATCCAGGTCACAGAAGACAAGAAAGATATAATATTTAAAGACAGAGCCAGAATTGATAATTGGCCATTATCTACAAGGCCAGAGCTTCTAGTGATACTATATGTACTTTTGATAGCAATCTCAAACTCAAGTGTACAAGTTAAAACTGATAGTGCAGCTGCAATCATAACAATAAGAGGTAGATTAAATAAAAAAGACTTTAATAAAGAGCTTAAAAGAAAAAATAGAGTGATACTTAACAAGATTATAGAAGTAGTTCAGTTCAAGTCATTTAATTTTGAATTAGTAAAGGTTAAAGCACATGCAGGTATAAAGTAGAATGAAATAGCAGATTGCATAGCGAAAGAGAGTGCTTACTTTAATAACACATAAAAATAGCCAAGTAGTCTTCGCTCCCAATAGAGTTTCGATATATATTGGCAAGATAAAAGTATCGAATGCCTTTTACAGAGTTTTATTCTTAAAGTTAAAAGAAGATTTGTAGAAAGCAAATAATATTTGTTGAAAAGCTACAAGCCTCTTTGAAAGACAGAATGCAAGAGTAACCCATTTTGAGCTTTATGTTGAAAGAGATTAACAGAGCTTAGAGGCCAGAGATGTAGGTCATTAGCAATTAGTTTTTTTTTTTTTTTTTTTTTTTTTAAGATGAGATCTTGCCTCATGTTATTTATTAAGTATATACGTATATAAATTACATATATTTATACAACAATTAATAGAATAGTGGCTTAGACTAATTATCTACGATCTATACCTACCAGAGCTATCTATATTCCACTCATGTATTACCTGGATTTTGTATACTACTAACTAAATATCCTATTTTAACCCTAATATATTCTCTACATTTCTTAAACTAACAACCTTATACTCCCAATATAGTTCTAGTGCGGTATTCATTACAGATCCCACTAGGGGGCACCAGGCAAGCGTAACCTCACAGATACTTCCAGATTGGTGTAGTATATGTTGTTTGCTGTTACTGAGTTTGTATCTCAAGCCATTATTTATAATGCTGCCGTAACCCAGTTTGTATCTCAAGCACAACCTTCCTTATTATGTATAGTGTTGATAATATGCATGCAGGACTTGATAACAAATACTTCTCTAATTAGTGAGTTTTACAGGTTATGGGCATCGAAACTTCCAACTGAGTTTTTCAGAGTATATATTGTACTACTTCCAGTATTATATATTGGTATTTTAAAGTTGGTGTTCCTGTATTCTGTTTCATACTTGTTTCTTTTTCCAGATCTCATCCTAGAATCTTCTCCTAGTCATACTACCGAAGTAGCCAAAGAATATACAACTAAGGCAGCTCATGTAACCCGGTAACTAGACAAGTACTTCCAGTTAGGTATGACCTTGCTGTGTTTTGTCCATTTTAAGCGTATCCCAAGTTTTCACCTGCCAACTTTGCTCTATATAAGAAAATCCTATTCAATCTAGTAGTAGTATAAGTGCCAGAGGTGTTCCAAATCTGGTAAGACCAATTCTTTATCACAAGTCTCTTTGTATTTACTACATTTCTCACCACTTCCAATTCTAGTTACTATCCAGTTGTCCTTCCAAACAAGATTCCCAATTCCGCCTTGAAGTTGTTAGTGCTACCTTGCCAATTGCAGATTTACACGTACAACCTTTTGTGTAATAGAACCTTCTGTAACAATCCCTATTACACGTAGTGCCAACTACTCCACAATGGACCTCTTTCTGGAAATTTCTAATCTAGACTTGTATTCACTTAAACTTCCTATAGCAAATACTTCCAAATATTCGTAGGTAAATGTACCTACTAGGACTTGAACCAGAAACCCGCTCATGGAGGGTTGGATGCCTAGACCACTAAGCCGCAGAATCCCAACCCGTTATTAGCAATTAGTAATAAACTAGTCAAGTAAATTAAAGATCTTTTCTGAGTACTCCCAATACTGAACAAATTACATTAGCGTAGCCCACATATTTACCCATTATCTATTTGTGTCTTATGTAAGGAGAACAAAATAGAGGATCTGGACTATCTTTTTAGCTGTGAAGCCTATGAAGATATTTGGTTAGAAATAGAAAAACAAGCTTTAGTATTGGCATGGGCCACACTCAAAGAAGGGACAAAATTTAAGTACACCTTTAGAGATTTTAAAAATATAGTACTTGGCAATGCACAAGAAGCATGTTTAGAAAAAAAGAAGATGCTTATACAGGGTTTGGTTTATCAAAGTGATTTCAGGAAACTTCAAAAAATGAACAAGAGATTAAGTTCAAGTTGACAATGCTATAAGGTGCTCTGTTATGTTATGCAAAAATGTTTTTATAGAATAATTTGGAGAGAAAGATGTGAAAAATTCACAGTATAAGAAAAAGGTAATAGTATAAGCAAGACAATTAAAAGAGGAAAAAGATTCAGAGAACTGTTCGAGGTACTATAAAAGAATTCACAAGCAAAAGACCTAGTATTAGAAAATAGACCAACAGAGGTTCGACCAATAGAAAACCAAGCAACAGAAGACTATTCAAGTAAAAGAAGAAAAAAGTGTTTAGAGGAATCAGGTGTAGTAGGAAAAAAAGAGAATGTTTGAAAAACTTCAAAGAAAAGATAGTTGAGATATATAATTTGGTAAAAAAAACAATTTGGTTACAAATTTCAAACTCTTTTTCACCTAGTTGGTGGTCAAAGTAAAATTAGTTTGTAGTAGGTTTTTTTGTTTTAAGTAAATAGTTTTTTAGGTAGCTACAGTAAGTACTATGCTATAACATGTTTTTAAATATGAGTAGCACCACATGTAGAACCAGTTAGCAAACATCAATGCAATAACCATACTTGGGCACTTTTAGCAGCCAGGTATTGGCCTAATACATAAATTAAATAGTTAATTTTGTAAATTACAAATATTCTAATAAATTAGAGCGAGGTTATCAAAGAAAAAAAAAAAATAAAATAAATTGTATAACTTCTTTTTAATTGTTTTTTTTAATTTAAATTGATTTTTTTAACTTTTTAATTTGATTATTTTTCTTTATTTTTTTATTTTTTATTTTATTTTTTTATTTTCATTTTAGAAAATTACTATATATTTTACTTAAAGTACTGAACCCATTTACTTAGTAGGTTTTTGAGATACAGCAACACCGGTGATGATTAGGGAAGTGTCATTTATCATCTGATTTTTTTAGCAAAGAAGTGGATGTCAAAATATCATGATAATAAATCACATATATATATGTTTATATAATCATAATCATTTGAGGGAGGGGGGAATTTTACTATTTGCAAAAAATCAGCTGATAAATGACACTTCCCTTACCAGTGGTGATAAATAGCAAACTTCTTAAAAAAATTAAATAATGTACGTACGTACGTTCAGTTATAACATTATAATTGAAAATATCAATGATTATTTCACCTGAATTAAACACTCCAGTAAATTACGAGCAGATTATATTTTAGAGAATTACGTATTACATAATTTGTCTTAATCACACACCGCAGAAAATCAGCTGTCTGCCCCAAGACTTTCTTTTTTTGATGATATATATTATGAAAAAAAGTTACAGTACAATCTATTTCTTTAGAATGCTGTTATAAATAAGAAAAAATTATCATGACACATAAACAGGTATATAGGTCAAGAATAGATGCCTTGAAAAATATTACTATTACATATTAATCATTACCGCTTATATTAAATAATACATTATTTGTTCAGGTGCTATCGCTTCATAAATTTAAAACGTCACGCATCCGAGATAAATATAGACCTGTCATTTGACCTCCATTATGACGGTTATTTTTCGCCACAACAGACTCGAATCTAAATTATATTGTATGCAACTAAAAAATTACCATCCGCAAGTTTTATATCATTAATTTAATAAATTGAACTTGAGCTGACACTATCTACTATTGACCACATATATTGGGCTTTTGTTGTTATCCCGACTTTAGAAATCCCGATTCCAAAACCCAAACTATGTAGTAATGTCATTAAATCAAAAAAAAAGGATTGTATCGCAACCCTGTTTACCACTTCCTTTCAGTATGGGGATATTCTAATACTTTACGTTCATCTAATCTTTTTTGAGCTTCTATTAATGCCCAAGATTGTACACTATTTATTTATAATGTAATCAGATTGAATAAAAAAAAAATCGTTAATAGCTTTAAAAAAATAGTGTAATCGTCAAAAGTGTGATTTAAACATACCTAGTATCTGGTTTATAAATAGCGATAATGGTTGCCAGTAAAAAACAACCACCCATGCCATACACCCAAACATTTTCCCAATCTTCTTTAACGCGTTTTTGACCTGGTGGTAATGGCTATGCAAAATACCAATTTATTTGTTCAGAAAATTGATAAATAAATATATCAATTATTGTAAATTAAAAAATGCACTTACCTTTTCACCAAATAAATGACCACTTGGCTCATTCCACTCTGGTTCATGGTGGCCGTGGTCACTGTGGCCGCTTGCCCTTCTTTTTCCTAATCGAACAGCTTGGTAACGTAAATTAGAGACTTTCCCAAACGTTCTTTTAAAAGCAAACATTTCTTTTTTAGTGGCTCAGTAAAAAATGTCAAAATTTTATGATAATCTGGATTATCGTTATGTGTTACTGTACGACATGTGATATAATTTCAGGTATAAAAAAAAATTAAAATCTGTAGATGCATGTTCTTTCTTCTCATCAATCCAACAGGCATCCGTACACCAAGTTCGGATTAGCGTTTGGTTAGTATGTATTTTATTCGTGATCTCAAGAATAGAATTAGGAAAACGGTGGACAACTACCTACGCTAAAACATTTTTTGATGGTAGTTATTGCATTACTTGTTATTACTGTTTGTGTAGTTAAGTTTGCGACGAAAGGGAAGAATAAAATTTATGATTTATCACCTTTTTTAGAAGAAAAATTCCGCACTTAAAAATTAATGTTGGTTGTTGGCAATCTTTATAATTGTCCAGTTAACATGCAATTTTATATTTCTAATTTCCCAATTGGCAACATTTGTATAAAGATTAATATGTGAATTTATTGGAACAATAATCTGATCGAGTAGCTTAATCATCGTATGAAAAGCTTGATCCAAAAAATTATGAGAAAATAATTATTTTTATTTAAATTATAATTTAATTCGATGCGATATATAAATAGGAATCTTAACAAAACGATGAAGGATATTTACAAGGACGAAGAACTTGACGTGCCTGACGATGTTACGATAACAATTAAATCACGTTTTGTTAAAGTAACGGGACCACGTGGCACCTTAACAAAAGACCTTCGTCATATCAATTTGGAGTTACAACCAATTAAATCAAAAAATGAGAATAAAATCAAACTTATCGTTTGGCATGGTTCTCGCAAACATGTTGCTTGCTTACGTACAGTCAAATCTCATATTCAAAATATGATTAAAGGAGTCACCAAGGTAAAATAAAATTGAATTGTATATAATCATCATTAATATTATTCATATATATATATATATTGCTCAATATCTAGGGATTCGAATACAAGATGAGATATGTTTATGCACATTTTCCAATTAATGTTCATATATTAGACGATGGAGGTGAAGTTGAAATTCGCAACTTCTTAGGGGAAAAAGTTATTAGAAAGGTTAAGATGTTGGAAGGAGTTAAAGTTGAAATTTCCAAGAATATGAAAGATGAAATTATCTTAACTGGTAATGATTTGGAAAATGTCTCTCAATCAGGTAATAATATCTGAGTTTAATTATTACTCATTTATTCTTATTTATTTATTGAACATATGCATCTATTTTATTCATTTATTCGGGGTTTTTTTTAAATAGCTGCAAATATTCAACAGTCTACCACTGTAAAAAATAAAGATATTCGAAAGTTTTTGGATGGTATCTATGTTAGCGAACGTGGCTCGGTAGTTAAAGATTAAAATTCAAACTTAAATAAAGAGAGTCCCATTACTATTTGATACTCCATCTCTATTAAAAATTAAACTTGTAGCTAATGTAATCAAATTTAATGTCGATTTTTATTGCAAAATGTATTCATGCTCAATGACAATATGTGAAACGTATTTACTGAAGAAAAATTTATACAATTAACAAGACATTACATAGAAACATTTTGAATTATGTTAAACTCCATTTGTTTACTAGCATTATTATTGTTAATGCCTTTTTTTTTTATTGGATTGGTTGTTTTTTTTTTATTTTCCTGAATTAGCTGAGATACTGGATAAAGAGTAACTTTACTCTTTAGAGTTCATCTACCTTGAACTTGGCATTATCAATGCAGGAGTGGTTAAGTTCTCTGTTAAGATAAAACTCATACATCAGTAATTCCCTTTACATGTTCTTCATCAAAATCTGATAAATAGCAGAGCGGACGTAAATTATAATACAGGCATATAGTGTGCTTTGGGTTTAACAGTACAGCAGTAAAAAATTTTGTATTAAAAATCCCTAGTGAATTTTCTGGGAAAAACTCAGGTCGATTCATTTTAATACATTACACCCCCCTAACCGATAATACATCGGATAGTTCGGTTGATCCGATTTTAACAAGATGGATATCCGGCAGGAACTCGTAAAAATTTTGTTATGCAGAATCTTTGTGTTATTGTCTAGATTTGTATTAATTTGCAATATAATTAGCTAGGTCGATTTTTTAAAATAATTTTTTCGGAAAATAACTCGAAATTTTCTTTTCTTTTCGGAAATTTTCAGGCTCTTTTATATTCCAGTATATTAGCCAATCAAATTTTTTTGCATACGAATTTACTCTGGGATGCCGTGAACGAAGTCACGAGGTATCCATTTGTCACGAGACCGTGATCCGGGTCCATGATCTGGGTTATTGTTTGATGGGTATGGTTAGAGTGGACTGAAAAATGTGATGTGCACATATGTGCATATGTGTACATTTTTTTCGTAGTTCATATGTGCACATA